AGAAGTCCCAAGAGAGTAATAAAAACAGACTTTGGGGCATGGTACTCCATCAGACTCGACTTGAAAACACTCCTTAAGGTCAACAAATAGACCTTGAACTATTTACAGGCTTTTCTTGTTGTATTTTTGGTCATTGGTTTTGCTGTTGTTGTTCTGTTGCTTTGTTTTGCTCTGTCTTGTTTTTGTGCCGATTATTATGTCTGCAGGTCTATCTAGATAAGATAGCCTGGATAAACAATCTGGATGAGAAAACAACAGGACCACTGGTTTCGGAGGGAAATGGGAGAGGAGGAGGTGGGGGAAAGGTAGTAGTGTTAGCAAACCCAAGGACAAGGGAACAAGTGATTCAAAATCATTGGTGAGGAGGGTGTAAGAGGACTGGTAGGGCTTGATCAAGGGCAATGCAACCGAGAGGAATTACTGAAACCCAAATGAAGGCTGAACATGATAGTGGGACAAGAGGAAAGTAAAAGAAAATAGAGGAAAGAACTAGGAGGCAAAGGCATTTAAAGAGGTATAAATGCAAGCATGTACATATGTAAATATATTTATACATAATGATGAGGAAATAGATCAATGTGCCTATATCTATAGGTTTAGTATTAAGGTCACAGATGGACATTGGGCCTCCACTCAGGTACTCCCTCAATTCAAAAACAGTTTGTTCCAATAAACTAACATTCCATGATGCTCACCTTCCCGACACGATCACTGAAGACAAAGTGGGTGCATAAGCAAATATGGCGAAGAAAGCTGATGGAGCCTGGCTATCAAAAGATATAGCATCTAGGATCTTAAAGACTTGAAGGTACACAAGCAGCCATCTAGCTCAGAAGCAACAAAGCCCACATGGAAGAAGCACACCAGCCTGTGTGATTACGAGGTGCCAAAAGGGTCAGCTATCAGGCATCAAAGAACAAAAAAATCATATCATTGTGTGTTCACCTATGCGACACGAATGCTGAAGACAAATGGGTGCAAAAGCAAATGTAGTGAAGAAAGCTTACTAGACTATACCCATATGTGAATTTCACTGCCCAAACTATTGAATTGGAATCATATAATATAGTCATAATTATAATGATAAGAATTTCTATTATATATTATAATCGTACCAACATATTACCATAGCATATAAGATGATCTATCAATGGAGTATTATCTGGCTGTAATAGAATTTTCTAAGATTGGTGTTTTATAGTACCTTTCTACATTTATATAAGAATATTGAAGTAGAAATTGCTCCAATGGGAGTTAGTGGACAATACATATATTTTCATTTTACTCTCAAGTCAACTGTGATTAGTAGTAAACAAGTTTCCACTATGATACAAGGCAAATGGAGCACACTGTGGAAAGCTGGCAGGTTGTTAAGAGACTTCTGGTTAATCACATGATAAAGAAGTCAAGATCCAGGATCTGCCTCCTCCCAACTTAACAAGTTAAAAGACTTGATCTTATAAATCCTCTGGAGTTTACTGAGTCACAAAGACAAAATTCACAAGAAAAACAAAGCATTACTTTTAAGTGCTAATTTATTATTCTTTAATGAAGAATAAAACTGCCAATAAAACTAGACTGTCAATTCTTGAAGCTGTGAGTTTTTCTCTGACACATAAGAACCCTTACTATAATTATAAAGCTATTGTTGAACCTGGGATCAATACAGAAGATTTTTTTTTATGATTATAAATTTTGTTATATAATGATAAAATGTCAACAAGAAAGCCAGACTAAGACTGGTCATGTTTGGCCTTTCCTCCCCCTTTGATTAACATGCATATATTTGCATCTCCGACTCAGATTGCGTATGTCTCTATGGAACTTTCCCACCGACTTTCTTCAAATCTATTAACATCTTTGATTTGGTTACTACATGCTATATACCAGGAAATCATTCTTCTTTTTAAAATATATTTCTCAACTCTAATCTTATCTAGTACTATTGATGTAGAGTTCAACTCTCACGGACAACTTTCAATTTCTTGGGAAGAACCTCAAAAACCTTGACTCACAGGTTAGAATTTTTTGTCAAGTTTTTACATGAACAATAGAGGTATTTATTACTATTAACTAGTAAGTTTGTTCATTGTATTCCAGAAGGTATCCTCCCACAGCAAAACATAAGAAATGCAAAAGTTTACTTGACATTTTATTACTTCTTCACAACAATCTCAATCTCCAAACAGGTGAAGATATTTGACCTTTATTAGTCACTGGAGTTAAAAGAATTTTTATTTTATTTTACGATCACATTCTTCATTCTGCAGATGCCACAAATGTGCAAAGGTAGAAGAATCAGAAATACAAAGGATACTGACAAGTATGTGTCACAATCCAAGTTAACAGGTCATATCACAACATCAGAAAAGGTTATAAGTGAACGAGTACCTCAGAAATAAACAATTTCCAGAAACTAAAGCCAAGACCAACTCAAATGTAAATGTCTACTTTAATGAATATATTCATTTCTTACATGCAGTACCTTCTAATTGATATGAAGAAACTTAGGGAATCAAAAATTTTAGTAGACATTTTTATACAGATGATGAATTTTAGATTAAACCAAGCAAACTCACTGCCATTGGGTTGATGTTGATTCATGGTGAGCCTGTAGGACAAGGCAGAACTGGCCTGTGAGTTTCTGAGACTGTAACTGTTGAGGTGAATAGAAAGGAGTTACCTGTAGTTTCTGACTGTTGACTTTGAGGATCACAGCTCAAGGTAACCACTAGACAAGAGACTTCCTGAGTTGCAGATTAGTAACAGTAAAAGAACATTGTGTTTATTGAGATACAAGAAAGTTTAACTTTTGTTTTTAGTAGATACATTTCCTAAAGGTAGGGGCCACGATACATAATTTGTTGGAAAGGGGGATGACAGGAGGGAGAAAAGCATGATTCAACATTTTCAGTCCAAGTGAGTTTTCAGCATAAGGAAACAGGTGTTAGTCTAAGCTTTAAAAATGACCACATAGGTGAAGAAAACTGATGGTGCCCAGCTATCAAAAGATATAGCATCTGGGGTCTTAAAAGCTTGAAGGTAAACAAGCGGCCATCTAGCTCAGAAGCAACAAAGCCCACATGGAACAACATATCAACCTGTGTGATCACAAGGTGTCGAACGGATCACTGAGCACAAATGGGTGCATAAGCAAATGTCGCGAAGAAAGCTGATGGTGCCCGGCTATCAAAAAGTATAGTGTCTGGGGTCTTAAAGGCTTGAAGGTAATCAAGTGGCCATCAAGCTCAGAAGCAACAAAGCCCACATGGAAGAAGCACACCAGCCTATGCAACCACGAGGTGTCGAAGGGATCAGGTATAAGGCATCATCAGAAAAAAAATCTCACCATAGTGAATGATGGGGGGAGTGCGGAGTGGAGATCCAAAGCCCATTAGTAGACCACTGGAGATCCCCTTGCAGAGGGGTCTCGGGGAGATAAGCCAGTCAGGGTGTGATGTAACAATGATGAGAAATACAACTTTCCTCTAGTTCCTAAATGTTTCCTCTCCACTCCCACTACCATGACTCGAATTCGACCTTGCAAGTCTGGCTAGACCAGAGGATGTACACTGGTACAGATAGGAACTGAAAGTACAGGGAATCCAGGGCGGATGAGCCCTACAGGACCAGTGGTGTGAGTGGCGAAACAGGGAGGGTAAAGGGAGAATGGGTAGGAAAGAGGGAACCGATTACAAGGAACTATATGTGACCTCCTCCTTGGGGGACGGACAACCGAAAAGTGGGTGAAGGGAGACGTCGGACAGGGCAAGATATGACAAAATACCCATTTATAAACTATCAAGGGCTCATGAGGGAGGGGGGAGCGGGGAGGGAGGGGAAAATGAGGACCTAATGTCGGGGGTTTAAGTGGAGAGAAAATGTTTTGAGAATGATGTACAAATGCGCTTTACCCAATTGATGTGTGTATGGATTGCGATAACAGTTCTATGAGCCCCTAATAAAATGCTTAAAAAAAATTTTTTTTAAATGACTACATATACTCGTGTATAGGCCAAGTTTTTCAGCACATTTTTAATGCAGTTTTTGTAGTAAAATTAGGTGCCTCAGCTGATATTTGGGTTGGCTTATACTTGAGTATATATTCGAGGTAATTCAGATGTACAGGATTTATTCCTGTACATCTAAACTCAAATCTCCTTTCTGTCAAGTCAATTCCAATTCATAGTTACCCCAAAAGGCAGGGTCAAACTGCCCCATAGGGCTTCAAGGATGTAAATATTCTTAAAAGGACATTGCCACATCTTTCTCTAGTGGAGCAGCGGGTGAGTTAGAGCCATCAACCACGGCTCAGTCAAGAACCACGCTTGTAACCACTGCGACACCAGGACTCCTATTTGTCCTCCTCTGCCCTAGATTGTGAGCCTCTTGGTGCTATTTAACATGTGTTTCTACATGAAAAGGGTAGAACAAATGTTAGTATTTCCAGAAGAGATATAAAATCTATACTATGCATACTTTAGTACTTTAGTACTTAGTACAGTACTGAAATTGCATTTCTGACTGTATAAGAAATGGGATAAAAAATGCAATTGCTAACCTCTAGGATTTTGTTTTTTATGATCTGTGTATTCTACAAAAATCCATATTAAATACAACTCCTTTTGTTTCTGATTGAAAAGAGGTAGTCATGCCTACCTGCATAAAATGTTTTATCTTATTTATTGTCAGTAGCCTAAAGGTCAATATTATCTCAGTCAAAAAGATGATCAGTGTGAAATACTCCTCACTACTTTTGCATAGACTGCAATGAATTTTCTTTTATTTTAAGAATTTAAAATTGTTTGTTCTAAAATTCCAAATCTAAAGAAACACTATCTTCTGTAATGAGCAGCAAACAGAGCTTATTTATTATGTATGCGTAGTGCTAGGTGTGGGCGTGTGATGGGAATTCGGCAGTCTTAAAAGGAAATTAAATTCAGAGCGTTTTTGAGAAATTGATTTCTTGTTGTGAGGAGAAATATTTCATCAATACTCACCTGTCACCATCCATCCTCATGTCCAAGGGGCCGTCCTTCCGAAGGGAAAAACCTCTTTCAGGAGCATCAAGTTGCATGGAGGAACACCCAAGATCCAAAAGAACTCCATCCAAAGTCCCTGGCCGCACTCCAGCTTTTATTAATAAGGCTTCTGCTTGGCTGAACTGGCCTAGCAAAGGTTGGACCTGTTTCCTGTGAATAAACCCAAGTGACAGAGAAGCACCTCAGGCATAAAAGTCTTTCATAAAGTCTATTATCATAGAAATGAGCACATCCTTTTATTAGCTACTTTAACCTAACTGTGTTTAGCAAGTGCCAACCACATGCTTAGCACTATGTAGACATAGGTTTCTGATGACAATACATGTTTGGCTTTAAACACCAGAGCTGATTTAATGTAATCTGACTCTTGCTAATAACCAGTTTATTTTTTATCTTTTTAATAAGATAAAAAAAGAAAGAAAACGAGCGTTACAGCTCTTTTAGAATTTGTCTAACAGGTTTTCTTTTTCTTTTTTAGGTAACAACCCCCCCGTCCCCCAGCGCAAAATGTCCTTGGTCAGATCAGAACTTTACATATTTTTTAAGTAAGAAATTTCTGAAACTATGTATAGGCAATAGAAGCACATGCCATCTATCAAAAGGACCATTTTAAGCAAGCTAATTTAAAGACTATGATAAAATGTATAATTTGTCTTCTTGGCAAATCCACCCTATTTATTATATACCAAGTATAATATGTACATTGGTGTGTGCATATATCCATAGAAGTCCTGATAGCATAGTGGGTTATGAATTGAGCTGCTAACTGCACTACTAGAAGTTCAAACCCAATAGCAGCTCTGCTGCTGAAAGATGAGGCTATCTGTTCATGTAGAGATTTAAAGTCTCTGAAACCCAAGGAGTAAGTTCCGTTCTGTCGTGTAGGATCATTATGAGTTGGAATCTACTCAATGGTAGTGTGGGATATATTCCAAAATTTTTATATGCATACTTATTATATGCACATATATGCATACTTTCAAAGATTAAAAATGCCAACTATTCCATAAGAAATATTACAAATAAATTATTTCATATACATCCCTAAGATAAAAATATCTAATAATATATTGTATATGACTCCATCAATTCTAATTATTCTAACTAGGTATTAAGAAGTTCATGGGTGCATAAGCAAATGTGGCGAAGAAAGCTGATGGTGCCCGACTACCAAAAAGTATAGTGTCTGGGGTCTTAAAGGCTTGAAGGTAATCAAGCAGCCATCAAGCTCAAAAGCAACAAAGCCCACATGGAAGAAGCACACCAGCTTATGCAACCAGAGGTGTCGAAGGGATCAGGTATAAGGCATCATCAGAAAAAAAATCTTACCATAGTGAATGATGGGGGGAGTGCGGAGTGGAGAACCAAAGCCCATCAGTAGGCCACTGGAGATCCCCTTGCAGAGGGGTCTCGGGGAGGAGATGAGCCAGTCAGGGTGAGATTTAACAACGATGAAAAATACAACTTTCCTCTAGTTCCTAAATGTTTCCATCCCGCTCCCACTACCATGGCTTGAATTCGACCTTGCAAGTCTGGCTAGACCAGAGGATATACACTGGTACAGATAGGAACTGAAAATCCAGGGAATCCAGGGCGGATGAGCCCTATAGGACCAGTGGTGTGAGTGGTGAAACAGGGAGGGGAGAGGGAGAGTGAGTAGAAAGAGGGAACCGATTACAAGGAACTATATATGACCTCCTCCCTGGGGGACCAACAACCGAAAAGTGGGTGAAGGGAGACGTCGGACAGGGCAAGATATGACAAAATACCAATTTATAAACTATCAAGGGTTCATGAGGGAGGGGGGAGCGGGGAGGCAGGGGAAAAATGAGGACCTAATGTCGGGGGTTTAAGTGGAGAGAAAATGTTTTGAGAATGATGAGGGCAATGAATGTATAAATGCACTTTACACAATTGATGTGTGTATGGATTGTGAAAAGAGTTGTATGAGCCCCTAATAAAATGATTTAAAAAAAAAAGACTTTTTAAGAACTGATGATTTTGTAAAACATCATAGGATAGAGTAGAGCTGTATGGCAAAATAAGATTTGTTTTATGATGACCGACTAGTCATTCATATTTACCTCTCCTGTATCCTATTTACCTCACTGAAATGATGAGAGAAAAAGTAAACTATACACAGCAATGCTGGAAACTTGCCAAATTTAAAACAGCAGAGTAGAATTTTCATAAGCAGATAGAATCAGAGAGATTAGAGTACAGAAGGAATAATGCTCAAAAACCTGCTATAACAATAAAAGCTAAAGATACAAACACTGAAAAAGTGGGTTTACAAAACAGAATCTAAGAAACAGGCAGAAGGGGTTAGAATTAAAAGATGGTGCAAATATTCTGCTTAGGCTGACAAAACAAATTTAGTTATTCAAACTTTTTATTCTGAAAAAAAAAAAAGAATCATTATATATTATAATAATAATTTAAAAAGTAATTTAAAAACTTAAAATAAAAAACCATACTGTCCATAAAAATGAAGTTAATTTAAGAAACAAAGGAAGCCTTTAAATGTGAAACTAGCATATATGTAAAATAAGGGGCTATAATAAAAATACACCAGCATTGAAATTTTTTTCAAATGTATTATTATATATTCTATTTGATTATCTACTTATGCACCTACCTATCCTCTGTCAGTAGGTAAAAACTCTTTAGAAAAGTTAAATAACACCATGTAAATGGTAGAAGGTTGAATTAAAGCTTTGGAGAGTTGAACTAAAGTTTACCACAGAGCAGCAAAAAAAAAAAAGGGGGGGCGGAGAAAAGCTCAGACACATGTAGTATAGACATAAGAGGTCCAATATCTGGTAGGGGTGGGGGAGAGGAGAACCAGTGCTTTGAAAATGACAGCAGGTAGGTAAAGCAGAAGGCTAGCAAAAAGGAGACAGACTATCAAGGAAATGGATTGACACAGTAGCTGCAACAATTAGCTTAAACATGGCGAGAATGGCACAAGGCTGGACAGTGTTTTGTTCTGTTATACAGAAGTTCTCAATGAGTCAAAACCAACTCAAATCACACGTAATAACAACACACTGGATATTCCAACATACAAAGTCTATGAAACATTAAGCGTAGTGGTAGAATGGTTCTCCTACACTGGGCCTATAATATTCTGCCAGGGTGAAAAAATGATTTTGTAGAGATACAGGGTTAGGCTAGCCACAGGTGAGAAGATTAAAATAGTAAACCTTATGCAGAATGTATATGGCAAACAGTATGGATATCAGGGGTTAGATGCTAGAAATTTTATTGAAGAAGCATCCAGTAAACACTGGATTATTAAATGTGAAGGAAAAGGTAAGGAGAGATATCAAAGATGATTCTAGGGTTTGGGGTCTGTGTGATCAGAAACATGGAAGTTGAAATTGGCAACAAAGAAGGCAAAGGTTCAGGAGGGAGGTTGGTCAGCTCAATTTTGGAAACAGTAATTTTGACGTTCAAAGGAATATTTTAGTGAAATTTTATACTAAGCAGTTGGAAAATGAAATTGTCACAAAACTTTTGAAGTAACAAAATGCTAAGTACCAAGTACAATTTTCAGAACACTTCTTGCAGTCATACAGGATATGAGGGAAACGATACAGAAAAAGAATGAAATGATAGAGGATATAAAGACAAGACACCAAAGGGAAACACAAGAGCTTAGGGACGAGATAAAAAAAAAAAAAACAGTAGCAGACTCACGGACTTCACCAATCAACTGGACAAGCCAGAGAACCACACTGGTGATGTAGAGGGCAGCCAAGCAGACTTTAACAACTGTGAACAAAAATCTAATAAGATCATTAGAGAAGCTGAAGAAAACCAAAGAGCTATGTCTGATGATATGAAGAGGAACATCATAATAATAGGATTACCAGAGGAAGACACAACAAAGAAGTCATCTGCAACAATAGTGAGAGAGTTCTTGTAGAAAAATTTTCCCAGATTAATGAATGTAAATCAGGTAAACATTCAAGAGACTGAAAGAATACCAGACTTAATCCAAAGAAGTCACCACGGCACATAATAATTAACTATCCAACTTTGAGGGAAAGGGGAAAATCATGAGAGCAGCTAGGGAAAAATAAGAAATCACATAGAAAGATTCCCAAATTAAAATATGCTCAGACCTATCAGCAGACACTATGAAGAAAAGGAGAGAGTGCAATAACATATCCCCAAAATTGAAGGAAAATAATGCAAACCAAAGAATACTCCATCCAGCCAAACTATTTAACAAGATATATGCAGAAGTAACAATCTTCTCAGAGAAGGATAAACTCAAAAGAATATGTTAGAAGAAACCCAGCTCTACAAAAGATCCCAATATGGGCAGAAGAACAGCACTCACCAAGCATAAATAAGAGACCACCAAATAGAACAACCCCACGCAGAGGGCAAGAAGAGAAAACAGCCCCCAAGATAGCATTGGCTTAAGGGTGGAAAGAAGTCAAAAATGAAACACACACACACACACACACGCACAAAACACTGATAAGAAAGGGAGGTAGGAAAACACTCAACACAAAAGGTATAAGATGACATCACAGAGTCCACAGATGGAGTCCACAGATGGAGGTAAGAACCCTGAATATCAATGGACTGAACTCAGACATTAAAAGACTGAGGCTAGCAGACTCGCTTAGAAAACACAATCCATTAATCTGCTGCCGACAGGATCCACAACTCAAGACTACAGACACAATTAGTTTGAGAATCAAAGACTGGAGAAAAGCATACCAAGCAAACAGGAATTAAAAAAGAGCAGGGGTTGTAATCCTATTCTCGGACTAAGTGGATGCCTGCTCATCCCCTGAGAAGAATGTATCTCAAAGGATGGCACTGAATCTGCAGCTTCGGGAGAAGGATATATCTGACCAGAGCACACAGGAACA